ATACAGGGTCCCTTGTAATGCCGTCTTATGATCAACAATATCCGTGGCAATCCATTTAAAATCACGGTGAAATGCCGACGCGTCGATAATATATCAAAATTAATAACGATATGAAATATGTAACGACATGTAGAGAAGCACACAAAAGCTATATAATAATCTGAAGACATGCGCTTGATGATGGACTCGTAACTGTATTAACCTTCTTTAGATTTTAGTAAAAGCATTCGACTCTGTAGATTACGATATCCTAATAGCGAAGTGCAAACATCTACGTTTTTCCTAATTCCACCATCTATTGGATAGCAAGCTATCTCTACAGGCAACAAATTGTAGTTGACGCTGCACTCCAATCCAAAACCGCTCCACCGAGAAGTTCACCTCAGGAATCTGTGTTAGGCACTGCTCTTCTTAATTTACATGAATGCCTATAAGCGAACTTACAAAAGTCATCATATGTGCTATGACCTGCCATAATAATATCTCCGGAAAACCATCTCAGGTAAAATGCTAAACAAATTAATAATGTCCAAATGGTCAATGAGAAACGGACTCATTTAAATCCTACAAAATACAAACCATCATAATTGGCTCTTCTCCAAATGCATACGAAACTTGAAGGTCTTATGTTCCTGATGTGCTTATAGACATGTTGTAGTACCTCGTCATACATGAAGTGAAAAACTTTTTCTAATACTTGATCATATAGCATGGGTATCTCAGGTCCGAAATGTCTGTCGCAATTTTATGCTTCTTTGCAATCCCTTAGATATATCGATAAATGTCTCCCTACTAATATGAAGAAATGTTTAGTAATTTCGACTCGTATTATTGTTTAAACAAATTTGAAGATTCACACGCTCAAAACTCCTGTATTCGTTCATTTAACATATAAAAGGACTCAAAATTCCTGTATTTGTATCATTCATTAACATAAAAATACTATACATCTTCGGTGTTATAAGAGCACAAAATATTAACACTAAAGGATCAATTTGTATCACAGCCTTTGCTTTTATTTAAGATGCTAAAAATGGGTTCCCCGATATACCGTAACAAATTATTTTGTACATCTTAAACCTTCTAGATTTCAGGAATCCAGTTACTCTATATTCCAAAAAGAAAACCAACTACTACAATAAATCGCTCGCATTACTGTAACCCGGGAATGTAATAAATTGCTTCCAATATTGAAAACTCCCCATTAACATCTTTGTAAAAGCACCTGCATGATTTTTTGCAAACTTGTATAAATTCACGGTAAATAACGGATCAAATAAAAACTATTCTTTAGGAAGTTTAAGAATTGGATTAATATGTTTGAAATAGCATAAATGTTTCTTGTAAAAAATGTTACTTCTCGACCTGTTTCATACTGCCGGAACTGTATTTCTCTCCTAGAGCAGAAGCATTTAACAGAAAAGGACTTAGCAGCATGGACCGCAACTGAGGATACCCCACGACCCGTACTCATGTTAGCTTTGTTTCCATTGATTAACCAGTCTCCTGGTGGTTTTTCCCCGACTAGCGGGTTTTCCTCCAGGATCGAGCGTACGTGTGATGGTGTCTTTCTGTATAAATAGATCACAGTCGCTCTGAGTGAACGCCAGGCTGCCGCGTAGCACGCAGATATTTAAACCACATTATCTTATTTAATTCCAATTGTGTTTTCAATCTCCATCTTGAATTTTAAATTTCAACATATTGTAACATTATATCCATTTAACCTCTGATGTTCTATTTAATAAGTTGCTTTAAATAACGTTTGCTTTCCGCTAACCTACCACTTGTAGATTATATTACATTTGCATTTTTTGATTACATTACTTTTTAGACTAATCTGTATATTTGTGACATGTGGTAGGCAAGAGCGGCCTAATGGCCCGAGGCTCGCATTATCAATGTAATTGTTAGTCTATTATTATTGTATTATTATTAATATTTCTAGTTAACTATATTATACTTTCATTATTTATTATTATTATTATTATATACATTTTTTATTTTATTATTATACATTATTCACAGCATCTATTCGGTTAGTAACCACACTACAGGTATGATGACCGGTGATGTTTTGCTTTACTGAAAGTATTCAGATGCTTCTATCAATCCATTTTACAAATTCACGCTTTCATATTAATTACATTCCTGCGTTATCCCATGAAACCCGATTGCACCGAGTGTCATTTTCGACTCACTCCCGTACTCGATATTATTATAGCACATTATGTCATACTGAAGTTACACTGAGTGCACTTCATGCACTCGAATACTCTGATTACTTCTATCTTTCCATATGTGTGTGTAGTATTAATTTATCCATAAGGACCGTTGGTTATCTTCTCTTCTCTCTCGTCAGCAGAAAAGGACTATTTTTCAAATATTACTAATCTTGCGATTATTAATTATTTTATTTATGTTAAACTTTTACTCGTTTTTCAACTATTTATAATTAAAATCACGAAGGCATTCTGGAATTCAAGAAAACGTGCGCAGTTTTTACTGTTTTTGTTTTTGACTGAATAAATGTTAACGCCCTGAGCAGCGTTTGTGGCAGAGCGTTTAAATTTTTTGGAAACACCCACTAAACTAATTGAAAAAATTGGAACACGCGTGTATTGCCCTAAATAAATTGTGGTGATTGAAAACGTAGATGCTATGGTAAATTAGTTAGCTTAGCATAAGAAACGCCAATTTAGAACGGCAAATTCACATTTTTTTCTCAATGTTGACGGCAAGGTTCCGCCCTACATCCTCCGAAGTTCACATTATTCATCCTTTAGACGAGCAAACGCGTATCTGATTGTATTTCTACATAATTAACAAATTTCACAGGAGAATCGATTTCGAGATTTAAATGGAAATACACCTTCTTGGGGACCCCTGATAACGAAAATGTGTTGTTTTTTTTAAACGTTCATCTCTGTCCGTCTGTGAACACCAAACTGAATAGTTTAATGTCATCTAGCAAGGTGTTGTAAAATACTGTACATGTATTATATACGAAATTTTGTAGTGAGCTGTTGATACTGTGACGTGATGAACATGATTACTACGTCGATTGTTGCTGTTACAGAGAACAGTGTTTGCTCAAAATATATTCCCGCCCTTAAGGTGGTTAAAGCGAGATATTCCCTAGAAGAGAGAGACTCCATATTACGTATTACGAAACACAGAAAATAACAATACATTAAAATGGGCGCAAAACCGAAACAACTTACACAGATATCCAATTCTTATTTTATTATATTGTATACAATCAGTAATATAGAGTGCAAAGAGAAAGTTGCGGAAAATGATTACAGATTTATGGGATAATAATGTTTTAGAAACCAAATTCAGTGTTTGTTTTGCTTTTGTAAAAACGTCGTCGTCTGTGGACAATAAAGTTTATTTATTTAATTCAAAACTGTGTGACGTGCTATGGGGAGAAGTTGAATTGAAGTTACATTTATGTCCAGAAGCAAAACAAGGGGCCAACTCTGCATTTGCTCAATGATCAGGGAAACGATGAAAACCTGATCGGGATGGGGGTTATTGACCCAGAAGCTGAAGTACAATACTTATTACATGTTCTTTAGAATTATACGAACCAAATGGTAAATAATGCACTAAATGCCGTTGTTAAAATTAATATTACTTTCCTTTCAGATGCTCGGTAATCTCTCTAATTATATAAAAACAGTTGTGAAGCAGAAAAGATTTTACTTGTGACTTAAACTTCTGTATCGAATTTAATCGTTTAATGTCATCTGGCAATGTGTTCTAAAATAATGTACATGTATTATACGTGAATTTTTGTAGTGAGCTTTTGATACTTTCACCTGATGAATATGATTACTACGTCGAAAATATATTCCCTCCCTTAAGTCAGCCTTTTTGGCAAAAAACACTTAATTATATATATATATATATATATATATATATATATATATATATATATATATATATATATATATATATATATATATATATATATATATATATATATATATATATATGAATAAAGAGAGGCTTACAAGAATCACGTGGGTGGTATTTGCTTATTATTCGTACAATTCGTTTTTGTAATTTAAAAGTCTGGAAACTATAAGAAGTATTTCCCCATAATATTATGCCATATCTCAGGCGGGAATGAACATTCGCGAAATATACACAACAAGCAGTGTGGAGGCTGACAGAATTTGAAAGAATTCTGAAAGCGTAACATAAAGAACTTAATTTAGTGTTCAATTCATTTAAATGGACATTCTATTTAAGGTTTCACTGAATTGAAAGACCTAAAAATTTTGTTACCATAACATCAGTCAGTGGCACGCCGTTCATTTTCAGTGAAGTTAGGAGATGTTATTGGAAATGGAAAACAGCATTGAAACCGTTTTCTGTTCATTTACTATTAATTTGTTATTACGAAACCAATTTGAAACATCTGCTATTGTACTATTTACGGTTTCTGTATTGCAAAGAACATTCGTATCATCCGCAAAGAGAACTGTTCTCCCGTTTCTAATCGACGAGGGCATATCGTTTATGTACAATAGGAAGAGAATAGGGCTTAAAATCGATCCCTGCGGAACTCCACATGCAATTGGCAAAAAATCAGAAAGGTGTGTACATAATGTTCCATTATTCCAGTAAGGTATTTCTACTTTCTGATATCGTTGTTTAAGGTACGAACATAACCAACCTAGAGCAATACCTATAGAGCAATATCTAGAGTGATTCTATACGAAGGTAATTTTGAAAGTAAAATGTCATGATCAATGACGTCAAAGGCTTTTGAAAGATCTAAAAATATTCCAATTGGTGCTCAGATGGGCGGACATTTTGAAAAAAACATTTTGTGGGTATCAGGGGACTCCAAAAGGTGCATTTCCGTTGAAATCCCGAAATCGATTTTCCACAGTATTACATATCACTCTCTATACCATGAATATTACTCCGTATACACGAACCATTCCGAAAAAATAAAAATATGCCTTATATGCCTGTTTCAGGGATTTGTGGTGATGATGGTAATTTGTTGACAATGGTTTGGTATCTGGCTCCATTTAAAATTCCCGCTAACATGCGAGGCAATCTGGTGCAAAGGGATTGCATGATCCAAAGGTCAATCGATCCAGAGAGTATGCAGTGCACCGAAGAATTCCGTTCAGAGAATATTAGTGATATATACTCTTTGGAATATTATTCCCAGATTATTCCGAACCATTCCGATCATGATGATTCCGATCCGAACGCTTGGTTGGGCGGGAACATCGTACTGTTGAGATCCCTGCATTTCTTGCGTTAGTATACGAAGCCTCTGTGTAAGTAATTTAATTATGAGTTAATGCCTTACATTGTGTTATTATCGTGTAATTTATTAGTTCTTGATATTTTCTGGGGCTGGAAAGCTTTGAAAATAGTTTTTAACGATGATCATTTCAATTGGTTGTAAACGTTTGAATAGGAAACCTAACAAGAAACACCTTTTTATTATTTTTTGTGTTTAAGAAGTTTGTTCTCGGTCAAAGAATTCCCAACTTTTGGATGATTGCACCATGCATAAAACTAAACGTTAAGTGGGATTTACCCTAAGAATAGATTTAAAACCTGTTATCTAGCTGAATTATTAAGGCACTGTTTAATATATTGGAAAAAAAATTAATAACTGTTTTAAGATCATAGAAAGCATATTTTTATATTTTGTCATGAAACGCTTCAGTGTTCAGATTATATGAATTGTCAAAATGTAGTCACTGGACAATGTTCTGATGCTTGGTTCCACAGCTGAGAGAATCAAATGATTTGTTCTAAACAGATCTTGTTTATGTGTATTTTGTGATTATGATTTGGATGGATAAATATAATCAGGTCATCAGTTTTTCACAAAACTGAAAATCCAGAGTGTACTAACACTTTTCAATTGCGTGATTACAACCATTTATTCCTGTTCTAAATGTTTACTTTATTAAAGGCATTCAAGAGAACTTCTAATGCATCTTATTAGCTTATTTGATGTATTGATATTCAAACTTTCATGTTCTAATGGTTCTATGAAATTACATGCAATTGCATTGCAGTAAGAGTTTTTTATTTGCACACATTTTTCAAGGATTATGTATAAATGTTTTTTTAATACAAAAATATGTATTTTAAGCACTTGGCGTACCATTAAATCAATGGATTTGGACAAGATCAGGGCAGAGCATAACTGTTCGATACTGTACTTAAAATTAATTATTTAATTTTTATTCTTTGAGGGTTTTTTTAGGCCTATGACTTGTGACCATCCAAAATAATGAAAATTTATGTTTGACTATATTTTCCATGGTTTTAATATACATGATGACAGGCGTGTAAGGAAGCCAAAAGTGAAATATTTTGTTTTGACTTTTTTTTACCTCAAATATCAGTAACTTAGACTTCTGGAACACTAACATGTAATTCAATAGAGATGTGGTTTAAGGAGTGGAGCACTATGTAATTTTGGGGATGAAATTAAAACAAAAAATTACTTAATATACTTAATATACTGAACAGTTTCAGAATATTAAGTACATTTATTTATGTATGTCAAAAGCAGTTAAAAACTGTGTGAGGTGTGATGGGGAGAAGTTAATTTGAAGTTACATTAGTTTACAAATTATTACAACAAACAAAATTAAATATGTGTTCTCTCTTTTTCAACAATGACTAGCAATGCCAAATGATTAACTCTAAATTTTGTTAAGAATCCATTATTTTCTAAAGTGTTATTTATTTGAAAATATTCTTTACCAAGAGTAATTGGAAGGTGTTTCTTTCTGCCCCCCCTCCCCCTTTCCCCTGCATGCTGCAAGTTGATTGACCATCTTAGACAATCATCCTTTCCAGTTTTTTAATAAAATTAACAGGTACAGTTTCCACATGTGAGTTGTATATAAAAATCAAAACTTAAAATGAAAATTTCTTCCAAAAACAAGATGAAACTGAGATTTACATGTGCCGGAAGAAAATTGTAATCCCTAAATTTATTCTATGCTGTACATCATTTCAAGTCCTTTCTTGCGAATAAGATAAATATTTTTAAAATTTAAAAACTAACTTCCATTAATCTATTACGTAACTGATAGCATGTTAAATCTTCTTAATATACATAGTGTTTGTTGCAACTTGCTTCCAAAAACTCAGCATTTCCTAAAGAAAGTTATTTTACTGTGATGTCCTCATTAACCAACTCGAGCTCTCTGCTTCCAAAGGAATGTATTGGACATTCATATGTGAAAAGAAAAATGTCTTTTTCATTCACCATTTTTCTGCTTTTTGTAGAACTATTTTTGACGTATAAAAACATCACAAGCTTAAATGTATGTATTCACATTGCATTATTAACTTTTCTACATCTTTTCTTCACTATTATTGCCAGTTTTGTTTTTAAATTGAGGTATGCTCAAGATGTTTCAAGCATAATTTTTGAAAGAAAAACTAACAGAAACAAAATTATTCCTGGTAATACATGCATATGTGAACACTACTATTCTGTGACAATAACAAATGTTCGAGACTCACTACTGATAATTGACAATTTTGACAATTGTTTTACTGACTGACAATTTTAACGGAATACTTTGTAGGAGCACATATTTATTTTAGGGAATAGTTCTATTGAAAATCTATTTTCAATTTAACTTTTCTGTGTAGGTGTAGTATGATAATAATATTGTAAATAAAAAAATCCAGAGATTAGATGTTAATATTGCCCAGATTCTTCGATTTAATTTTTTTTTCCCTCCGTTAATGTTATTTTAATATACATATCAGTTTAAATCAAACAATGAGTCCAAAACTAGAATCCTGTTGATTGCATAAACCGCCAAAATGAGTTGTACTAAAAAAAAGACTGAATCGGGATTTATTAAAAATGTATGCAAAGTTGAAGTGAATTCCTTTCTGTTGACTGGAATTATATGGTGGACTGGATTCAATATATAACATTGTTAACTTATTTTTATCAGTTAGATTAAGACTGATTTTCTGATATACATTGAAAGGTGTTTGCCTTTACTAAATGAAGTGTTGAGCGTCATTTGAACTGTTTCATGCAAGAAAGACCTAGAAATTACGTCGTACGCCTTCCTTCGGAGGGAAAGTAAAGCAGCTGTCCATGTTTAGTAGATTCACTTGATGTAAACATCCTAGCCTAAATGACGACTCTGAGCTAAATTGAAATCGCCCGTGTGTGCTGCAAAATACCTCCTTTCTCTGCTAGTTGGTGAAAGGAGAGTAGCGAAATTTGCGTGGTGCCACGTAAATATAAGGCATTAATTCAATTCAATCCGAAATCATGTTCTTTTCAAAACCATACAAAATTTGGAAGTAACAGGGTGATGTGTTGTCGACAAAGCTATAGAAATTTTGAAGTACTCTTGGTTATGCAGATGAAAGACAAGTTTTGGAGTTCTTCTAGTAGAAGAAATATCTGCAGAATTACGAGAGTCGTGTCATGTAAGAAGTACATGCTATTGATTTCACGATGCTTTGAGAAAAAACGATGTCGAGCAAACCTTTTCTCGTTTCAAATATGCTTTGAGATACAATAGGAAGCATTGTACCTTAAATATGTGAGGATTATTCATGGGCACCCTAAAGTTAATTTTTGGAATGGATGCAAATCGAAAGATATTTAAGGAGTTTCAAAAATTGTTCTTGAAATATATGTGCTTTTCTCTTTTCATTGCTCAGATGTAATAACGTCGAATAAAATAAGTTAGTAATTTCACGTCCGGATTCCCGGGGGGGGGGGATCCCCCTCCAATATTTTTCACCAACTACTAATTTTTCACTTTCACGAAACTTTTCATTAATTAGTGGTGCTAAAACAGTACGTATGTTTTCGTGTGTATTTTCTTGCAAAATTACGTGAAAAGTACTCAATTTTTCGAAAAATTGTAGGTGACCTTATTTCAAAAACTATCTTTAAGGAACAGATTTAATTATGAAACAAATATTCTTCTTTAATATTTTAGTTCTGAAAATAAATTGAACTTTTGCAGAGACTCAATTTTGTAACTTATCGAAAATTCAAGGTTCTAACGAACGTGAGACCTGCATCGATCTCTTAAACATCCTTCACACTAACAAAAAAAATCGAAAACGGAGTATTTAAAAAAAAATAAAATGTCTCAGGGGATTCATGTAAAGTACGCCCCTCCCCCAATATTAAAATATCGGTTTCAAATGCCAGGGGCCGTGACATCAGCAGATCAACCGGAAAATATCAATTTTGGAGAAAATCGGCAGAACGGTTTAGCGTTTTGCTGTCATTCGATTTTTCGGTTTCAAGGACCCACGAAATATAGATTTTGGCTGCACCACATGTTAGAGGATTTTCCGCCCTAAATTTAGCGGCTGGATTTATTCACTTTTTCGTTACCAGGGTCCTCTAATGTTGAGGCTGCGAAATATTTGTTAGATACGTTGGGACGGCATTAGCAGAAACTGCTTCGAATATCGCCTTTTCTATCGAAAATTTTCATCAGACGAGTGTGTTCTGGAGAAGGAACGATACATAATTGACAAAGATTGTTACTTTGCAGAAAGAATCAATGAGTATTGAAGAGATTGTCAGGGTTACCTCTGTCCAGACGAAATTAAACCTTTTGTTACGAATTTCGTCGTTTTTACTGCACGTTAGAATGCAGAAATGGTGCTGGGAATTGCCTGACAGCGCCTCGAATCGAACTTTGAATGTGCCCAATTTTATGAATTGAATGTGCCTCGAATCGAACTTTGAATGTGCTACAATTTACGTAGCCTGTGTGCACGGCAAACTGCTCGCGGGACCTCGGTTGACATTGCGAGTTCGCTGCGTCTACAATAAAAAGAGCTGGATTCTGAGAATTCTGACAATGGCACATAATTATTCGCGGCCACCCAGAAGCTGCTGCGATTTTTGGTGGGGTTTTGCTCCGAACTAACAGGAAGCAGTTGATAATCGACGTCAAAGAACTTCGTACGAAAGAAATTAGTATTTGGTCAACTGGGAAGGAATTCGCACGGAATCTTGACGGCGTGAAGTTTGAAATGTATGATCTTTGTTCTTAAATGTCTTCAAAGATCAGCGAAACTGCGCTGTTAGAAACGTGGCGACAAATTTGAATCAGTTTGGCGGTCTATGTGCCAACATGTAATAAGAGGTTTTCCGCCTAAAAAGGCTGTTTTTTTCGCGTAGCATTACATAATTGTCTCTAATCCGTAAAAATATTGTCGGATAATCATATAAAAAACTAATAAAAACATCCCAGCATGAGCTGAGTTTAGCCTGCGTTATTCTACATAATTGTTATATGACACATTCGATCAAAAATTTTGAGAAAAAAACTATCTTAGTTTACCGATCACACTCGACTCACAGTCGGGCATTTATATAGTATCCCTAGGATGGAGGAAATGAGAAACTAAAGGCCCAACTTTAGATCGCCTTAAAACATCGCCAAAATGATCGTTGAGAACAACCCCTACTGCGAAAGACGTAAATGTTAAGACTGCCTTCCAGGAGCAGGCGTGCCCTACGGTAGGCATTAGGTGACATGGCCACGTGCCATTGGATGATAAAGCGTACGGAAAACAGCCATTATTTCCTTTCTTAACAGATTTCCCCTACATCCATCATCAAAACTAGGCCACCCTATTGCAATATTTGTAGGATTCTTTCAATAGCTGTTTGACGTCATTGATCATAACATTTTACTTTCAAAATTACCTTCGTATGGAATTCGTGGTATTGCTCTTCATTGGTTAGGTTCGTACCTTAAACAACTATGTCAGAGAGTAGAAATACCTTACTGGGATGTAACAATGTACACACCTGTTCTGTGTCAATTGCATATGGAGTCCCGCAGGGATCTATTTTAGGCCCTATTCTCTTCCTACTATTCGTAACCGATATGCCCTCGATGATTAGAAACGGAACAGTTCTCTGCGGATGATACGAATATTCTTTGCAAGAAAGGAACTGTAAATAGTACAATATTAGATATTTCAAATTGGTTCCGTAATAACAAAAATGAATAGTAAATGAAAAGAAAATGGTTTCAATGGAGTTTTCCATTTCAAGTAAACAGCTCTGTACTCCATTGAAAATGAACGGTGTGCTATTGACTGATGTTATGGGGAAAAAAATTGTCTTTCAATTCAGTGGAACCTTAAATGGAATGTCCATTTAAATGAATTGAACACTTAATTAAGTTCTTTATGCTAAGCTTTCAGAATTCTTTCAAATCTACTCAGCCTCCATACTGCTCGTTTGGTATATTTCGCGAACGTTCATTCTCACCCGAGATACGGCATAATATTCTGGGGAAATACATCTTATAACTTCCATGCTTTTAGATAATAAACGAATTGTAAGAATAATAAACATACCCACCCACGTGATTCTCGTAAGTCTCTTTATTAATCTAGGTATCTTACCATTACCTTGTCTCTTGATATATGCAGTGGTTTTTCTCAAAAACTACTTATTTAAGGGCGGGGATATTTTTCAGCAAACGCCAATGTCTATAACCACAACACTGGACGTAGTAATCATATTCATCAGGTGACAGTATCAACAGCTCACTACAAGCATTGGCATGTAATACATTACATTACTTTACAACACCTTGCCAGATGACATTAAACGATTAAATTCGATACAGAAGTTTAAGTCCCAAGTAAAATCTTTTCTGCTGCACTACTGTTTTTATATAATTAGAGAGATTACCGAGCATCTGAAAGGAAAGTAATATTAATTTTAACAACGGCATTTAGTGCATTATTTACCATTTGGTTCGTATAATTCTAAAGAACATGTAACAAGTATTGTATTTCAGCTTCTGCGTCAATGACCCCCATCTCGATCAGGTTTTCATCGTTTCCCTGATCTTTGAGCAAATGCAGAGTTGGCCCCTTGTTTTGCTTTTGGGAATAAATGTAACTTCAATTTAACTTCTCCCCATAGCACGTTACACACAGTTTTGGATGTGAATAAATAAAGCTTTAGTGTTCACAGACGGACGGACGTTTTTACAAAAGCAAAACAACACTTGACATTTGGTTTCTAAAAACATGTATTTCCCATGAAATCTCGTAATCGATTTTCCGCAGCTTTCTCTTTGCCACTTATATTACTGTATGTGTATACATATATAATAAAATAAAAATTGAATGAATGCTGTGTAAGTTGTTTCTGTTTTGCCGCCTCAATTTTTAATGTATTGTTATTTTCCGTGTTTCTGAATCGTAATGCAAAAGCATGGGTGTGCTGCTGCGCAGCCTATCGGCTACAGATAACACTAGCACCATGCACAGTATGCACCAGTTTGCGTCACGTTAGCGGAAATTCTAAACACAACCAGGTACCAAATAACCATTAACTTATAGTTAGCCATTAGTTTTAACTCTGAAACAAATATATGAACCTTTTTAAAATATTGCATCTTTTATTTCGACCACAACATTTTTTTTTTCTGTTGGTCACCATTGAAAATTGTTACTTTATGCCACTTACGTGTTTCCCAACATTTCTCGTTTGCCATGTAGCAAAGCGACCAGCGTCTGGCTTTTCAATAGAAGTGCCTGTGTGTTGGCCACGTGGTTCGTGACGTATCTGGTTTTGTGCAGAACAAGCAAAAAACCGGTGTGCCGGAGCAGCTCTCTCATGTCTTTGTGTCATGATCTGAATAAATGTATTCCTGGTAAACTTGTAGTGCCAGGAGAAACAGTACCTTTCTTACCAACTGGTTGTATTTGTCTTATGGCTCAAACTTGAGTATTGCTGTACTATGGAAAGTTTGTTGTTGATTTTTTCTAATTTTTAGAAAATGGATAAATGGCATGAGAAAGAAGAGAACAAGAAAAGACGCCACCAAGAAATTCCTGTTGAGAGTATTTCAGAGGAGAGTGTGTTATTACAAGAATCTGAAGATGGGCTAAACAACTTCCAAGCGTTACAAGAAGAAATTTTATTGGAGGCAGAGAGAGAGATTCCGGATCTGGAGGATGACGAAGAGGTGTTTACCGGAGTGATGGCTCGTGTACTCGCAAAACTTAGTCTGGAGGAGCAGCCACTTTATCTGGAATTGCCACCAAAAAACATAGATGAAAAGGTAGAAAAAGCATTAACTGAAGACTTGGAGAATTGTGCATTATTGGTTGATTGGTTGTCCGTACATATTAAAAAGCAAAGGGAATACAAAAAACAAGTGGATCAAAGAAGAAAAACGCTGAGTAATATTGTACAGAACATAGAGAATTTCAAAATAGAAAACCCAGAAGATGATCTGCGGAGCATTCAGAAAAAAGTTCATCAAAAGTTTATTTTCTTAAGACAAAAGTTGTCAGATCTCATTGAGGAATGGGGTGGAGATTATAGCTCTGAGATTTCAGACATTTTTGCAGCATTGACTCAAGCTCACCTGGAAGAAACCGGTCCTGCAGGTGAAGGAAACTACGTGGAGGTTCGGAATTTCAGAAGAGATGTGGTTCAGTTTTTATTGTCAAGTAGACTTGTCGTTTCGGATAAAGATCAAGAACGAATTAAACTTTCAGTGTAAATTGCTTCATTCTTTACTCTTCATTTACGTCTCAAACAGTTATATTTTACAATAATTTTAATAATCGAGTTAATACAAAATAATTTATGAAATGCATTGCACAGAGATGAGTTAATTGTTATAGTGTTTGGAAGAAAAATAAAATTAATGTTTTTGTAATATGAAGTATTGTTTTAATAAAGTACCCCTTCTGATATACCAGAGTGCCCGATTTGCGAAAAAACAAAACAAAAAATACAGAGAAATTGACATAAATGTAGCATGATGACTTTTTATCATTGTATATAGGGAATCTGCAGCTCTCGTTAAAAAACCTGAATTGGACGCGCGGCTGAATCTTGGCGGAAGGGAAAATATTTATTTTATTTAGCGTACGGGATTACTAGCGGGGAGACTGCACTTGGACAGTGTCCGCACTCGAGTTTTCGACCCAGGCTTCCTTGCAAGCATATCTTTGTTACAAAGCCTAGCTTTGCGTAGTGGCAATATCGTAACCATTGAAGTTTATCTGAGGTGCGATTATTGTAAGCTGAAACGTGAAAACTACCTCCGACGCGGATTTGGGGGCTTCTATCGAGCGACCTCGCGGAGGCGTACCTCGCGGTCGGTCTCGTGAAATGCGCATGGGATATTACTCACTTTCTTCGGTATATGTCGGTCTAATAACTACTGCTGTTTGTGATAGTGGCAACACCTATGCAGCAATGGTCGAGATCACTTAAAAATAGGCAGATGTATAGAACAGTATGTTCATAAGTGTTTAAATTTACATAGAGATGGCATGCACAGCCTAGCAGCGCCCTCCTTGACGTGATAGGTCAGTGTTAAGCCACGGTGTAGAGCTGTAAAACGACGGGGGAACGTGGAAGCAAGTGCCGGCATTCCTCGTCGACGCCAAAGAGCGCAAATCAGCCTCTCAGTTCCAACGCAGAATGATCTGTCCCCGGGAAGCGGGTTTATACTACGACACTGCGGCTCGGTCGGGGCGCGCTGCTACGACAGTGATGCGTTGGAACCAGTGAGTAGAGGAGGGGCATACACAGCGACTATGTGTATCTCGCAGTTGGTACGAGGCCAGATATAACATTTGCGGTGAATATTGCTTCAAGACTTCAACTGAGACTCATTTAAAACTGTCCGAGATAATTCTGAAATACCACAAAAGAACGATGAAGTGTGATTTAGATTTTGTGCAACCACAAATGTAGGTATAGAAGCCTGGCGATGCTGCATGACCATATGGGGGATAAGGAGACGAGGCATTCCACAAGTGGAATCCACATAGTTGTGGGGGAGCAATGATATGGACGAACAACACACTTAGATATTTCTCGCTGTCAATAGAAGCTAAATTTGTTCCTGCAATTGACTGGTGTGCCTTGACAGTATGCTGAGGGAAATTGGGGTAGTCAGAGAAATCAATCCCCAAACTTTACATGAACAACCAAAGTGCGATAAAGTATATCTAGGACACCGGTTTGATGAGAGGTCGAAACACTGAAATTCGCTATCAGTACACAAGGCATCTAGTTAATGAAGGGAAACTGGGCATCGAGTAATTTCCAGCAGGCAAACAAACTGACATTTTCACGAAGGGTTTACTAGCTACTAAAATTTTGAAGATGAACAGCATGATAGGATTGGTGGATAGATTAGACTTCCAGGATGTGACGTTTATGTACAAATATGTAATGTTTAGTGAAATGATTGTCATGTAAAGCGAATATCTTACGGGGAAGCTTGCAACAACGAGTATGTGCAACTAGATTGTGAATATTATGGGTGAAAGAGATTCAATTTTATGAGCGCGCTCTAGCGGCCAATCTTATTGGACTGCCTGTGTGTGCCCGCGCGGTGCAGATCATGAGAGACCGTGGAGACGTAAAGACCGTGGTGTGGTGACGAGGAGATGTGTAGCAGTGTGATAGTGATTCTCGTTGAAAAACAATTACAGACGAATACCTTCAACAATGATCACAATCGTCTATTAAACAACCTCCCTTGTCTCGCTCACTGTGCCTGATCTGCGAGTATTACACGGGATATGGGAATTCTGGGTAGCAAGATATTTTTTTTAATGTCTCACCCACGCGGAGTGTCTTAGTCTCACAGTATTTTCCACATTGTAATTCACGAGTAATAATATATATCAAGTTTTGTTTAAATGGCAGTGTACCCGCCTCGAAGGTTAAGCTGGAACACAAACACGGTTATAAAAACATTGTAAACAGCTGCCTGAATAGTTTCCTGGCGAACTCAGCACTGTAGGGACCTTAATTTTGGGATTACTCTCTTTCATACTGTTTTCTTGCGCCGCCTCAGTGGGTGAGGTGTTTGCTTACTGTCCTCTAAAACCCCAGTCCACAAGTTCGATCCCGGCCGAGGTGCGCGGATGTTTCGAAGGGCGAAAAATCCACAGTAGCCACGTCGCTTGTGGTATGTAAAAGAACCGTGGCAGACGCCCGGCAAAATTAAATCTGACAATATCCTGCCCTAACGAGATCTCACTTTCTCCCAACCAGAGTTCCGATATACACTGGTGATTGTGAAAATTGTAACACCAAGAAAACATACTATTACAATGAAATTGAATCCACAGATTAGGAGTATCACAGTACTCGTATACAAATTATTAGAATCACGGAACTGTAACTGAATGTAGAGGGATATTTATATGAATTGACCGTTTTGACAGCTAGTGCTGGCAACAACTGAATATTCTGCGTTCATTGTGTCCTTGAGCCTGTTAGACTCTGCTTCCTCCATTCGTCCGTTTGCTGTTGAACTTGTAAATGGTTTCGACGCTTCCTTTTGTGTTGTCCTCGTCCGACGAAAATATAGTGCGCCACGAGAAAGAAATGAAATTAGGAAGTGCAGTGCTATGTGCACTTCTGTAAAAATTTGTTTTTTTCAATGCTTCGCTACCTCTTGAGGGGACAGGTTCTTTAAGTATCCAAATCGTGCCATAAATTGTGACAATTTAAATTCAACACATAAGCAAACAAGGTTTTTTTACTATAAATTATAATGCTACACGCATTTAAAAAGAGAAATAAGACATGCATCTCCCCAGTATTCACACGTTTTAGAAAGGCGAAAATTGTCAAATTACAAATCATTTTTCTACTTTCCATACACAGTGTTTTGTGAATTACACCATTAATTTGATAATATGATCCGGCGATAATAGATATAATACATAATTGACATGTGTGTAATTACAGACATTTCTTATGGGTGCTATGGAAAATTAAGTACGAGTTCAGTTAATTTTCTGTGGAAAAATATTTTTAATGCATTTATTCCAAATCCATATACTTTCTTGCATTCATTCGTCCCTCAGACGTCAATGTTTGGAAATGACCCTCAGTGTGGTCGCTTAGTTGAGCTGGCTCACTATCGCTTGCTCTTGAAAACTTGAGTTCTTAAAGTCCTCGAAACAAGTAAATTCCAAATAAGGACATCTCAGACTTGCAGTAATCGCGCCCTTCACGGTGGATTGTGTGTCTGCACGTTAAAAAATGAATTGACCTGTTCAAATTTCTACGTTTCGGAGAGGCAGAGATTCCTGGGATGATATTCGCATAGTAATTTCTTGCCAAGTACGTGAGTTCGTATCCCAGCGTTGACACAACTTTTATAAATTGAAAATACTTCTGCAGGCTTCGTGTGGTATGAAAATATTGCCATTATCAATAGTGCGAGGAAGAACGTGCTGTAGCACTATTAGTGTTAATTCATTGTTTTGTCTTCGGCTGTGTTTGCATTATAATCATCGTGGAAACATCGCTGGGAGACCGATAACAGAACGACCAAAGAGAATGATTATATAAGGTTTTTTATTTAAAAAACATACTGTTATTCAAAATTCTTATTAAATAAAAATGGAAATAATTGTAATGAAAATTTTCTGTGAATAGAATTATGTAGAAACTTTTATTTTGACATTGCGAATTCTTCAACATTAGAAAACAATTGTTTGAATACTGCTCTAGGACATATCTATTTGTGAGCAGCTGGACCGTTTCCGTTTGTAACTCTTCTAAGAAAATTATTCTGCCAAAGGTACGCAGATTGAACACGCGGAGAAAGAGGAAATACAATTGTAAATATGCAATTATGATAGTTTTTCTTATTGATAAAAACTACAGTAAACTGAACATTTGATAAAGTTCATGGATTGTGTATAAAAATAATATTGGGCCAATACTATTCCTTATATCCATAAATGACATGCCTTTGGCTTTAAGGAATAACAAAATAATTTTGTTTGAAGTTGACACAAAC